GTGACAATCCAACATCCTCCCCCTTTCCCCCCAGCTCCAACCTCTCCCTTTTTTATTTCAAAAGGTAAAGGGACATCTTTTGGAAATATGCACACTTGTCCTTCAAGCTTTTGGTCTGATACAGCTTTCCTTTCTCAGCTGGCCTAACTCAAGAAAAGGGTTTGGAAATAGGTACGTAGCTTTCAAGTCCGCATTCTTTAGTTAAACATTAGTTCAGCCAAGAGTTTAAGGGAGTGTATGTTTATCCATTGTACGTACTCAAACCTTTCCTTCACCATTTCATTAAGTCAAAATATTTTGGCATTGAGGGACTCCAGCCACATCTCAACTGTTCTTGCTTCTGTCTTCTCACAGCAACCAAAGTAAAGATCGTGTGTTCATCTTCTAGAATCCTCTAGGTCAGGGGTGTCCAACCTTTCACCTTCCCTGGGCCACATTAGAAGATGAAAATTTGGTTTGGGCCGCACAAAGATTTGATTTGGGCCGCATGGGGGGGCAGCCCTAGCCGTCCTCCGCAGCCCCGCTCCAAGCGCGCTTACCGGCAGCTGCGATCTCAGAGAGCAGAGGCTGCCAGCTTCAACTCCGGCTGCTTTATGGGGCTGGGAGGGGGTCCACCTATTGACGGGGATGGCACAATGCAGTCACGCAGCCCCCCTGTCCCCTCCCCTCCCACTCCTTCTTTCCTTCCTTCTCTCCCCTTCTATTGTTGTGACATGCCCCGGCCACATTCTGGCTGCAAGTGCCGGCAGTGTAACTTGAAACTTTGGAATTTCTTTTAAAATAAAAAATTGCACTGGGCCGCATTACGAGCTGACCTGGGCCACATGTGGCCCTCGGGCCACGGGTTGGACAAGCCTGCTCTAGGTAAAGGTAAAAGTTGCCCTTGACATTTAGTCCAGTCATGTCCGACTCTAGGGTGCGGTGCTCATCCCCGTTTGCAAGCCATAGAGACAGTGTTTGTCCATAGACAGTTTCCATGGTCATGTGGCCAGCACAACTAGACATGGAACACTGTTACCTTCCCACCAAAGTGGTCCCTATTTATCTACTTGCATTTGCATGCTTTCGAACTGTTAGGTTGGCAGGAGCTGGGACAAGCGACGGGAGCTCACTCTGTCACATGGATTCGATCTTACGACTGCGGGTCTTCTGACCCTGCAGCACAGAGGCTTCTGCGGGTTAACCTGGAGCGCCACCACGTCTGGAATCCTTTACCACTCCAGTTTATGAATGTCGGACATTGTCCTCCTTTTTCCACAATTCAAAATGCCAGGAAATGTATCCTGTAGTGTAGACCAGGGGTCCCCAACCCCCAGTCCGCAACCTGGCAGCGGTCCACAGCCTAGGCAGGACCGGGGCTGCAGACACAGATCTCCTGCCCCCCGCGAGTGTGACACACACACCCAACTTGTCCGTGGTTGGGCAAAGGTTAGGGACCACTGGTGTAGACCATTTTGACTGCTGCCAATGGTATTGTCAACATTTAATCTGTCCTTTATTATGTCAATCTTGGTAATCCTTTTCCTGCTCGCAGCAATAATGAACATGTACTGGCATTTTGAATCCTGGGTCCAAAAACACAATATGCCACATTCATAAACCAGAATATTTTTTTTGTTTTTTGTTTTGTTGTTTTGTTTGTTTGTTTGTTTTAAGAACTGAATTAATATCTTCGCCAGAGACCATTCTGTGGGTCCTCTCATGGAATTCAGGCATCTGGACCTCCCTGGTGTTCTCCAATCCAAATGGTAATCAGGTCCACTCCTACTTAGCTACCAAGGTCAATGAACTATGTATGTTCACACTGTTATGGTGGTAGTGTGTGGGTTTTTTAAAAATGTTATTTTAGATACCTTCATGTTATTATGTCTGCGGGACTGCCATACCTGCAGTTCCTTTATTTAAGAAGATGGATGTGAAGGAATGGATAAGTTTGAGGAGACAGAAAGAGAGAAGCAGAGAGACAAAAGGCTGTGCACTAAAGATTGGATAATGGCTTCTCTTTGTGCACCTATCTCCGAATCTGATGCATAGCAGCAAGCGTGAGGCCTGGTGAGAGCATTTTGTGGCTTCTACCTATGTCCTGTTTCAGTATTTCCAATAAATCAAATATTACAGAATACCCAGAATTTAGAAACATTGCTCTGGGGGGAGGGAGTATTAAACATTTACTATTACCTTTATTTTACAGTAATGTGTTGCTCATTTATGTTTACCCATGACTCACAAGTGAGTAAAGTAACATGTTATTAAAACATTACTCTTGGCATTATCTTTTTATTTTTACAGCCGAAAATATCACTACATGGATAGAAATGTTGATTAGCCCCCAAATCCAACCTCCAAATTCATCAATGAGTAAAATATACTCATTATGTAAAACTTACAACATTTAATGTATTCTCAAAGGTATTACAGTGGTGCCTCGCTTAATGAGCGCACCGTTTAACGAAGAATCCGTATAGCGATCCCTTTTTGGGGATCGCTATACGGATCAGCCCCAATCGCCGCACTCGCTTTGCGACAATTGGGGCGTCCGGCGGCCATTTTGGAGCCGCCGAACAGCTGATCGGTGGCTCCAAAATGGCCGCCGCATGACCCGAAATGGCCCCTATCAGCGGTTTCGCGCCCTCCCCTTGCTCAGGGAGGTCGCGAAAACGCTGCGGGGGGGCATTTCGGGCCATCCGCGGCCATTAAAATGGCCGCCGGAGCGAAAACATCGCTGGAGGGGTAAGTTTCCACGCTTATTGGAACGCATTAAACTAAGTTTAATGCGTTCCAATAGGCTTTGCTTACCCGCACAGCGATGTTTTCGTATAGCGAAGGTTAATCCGCAACGGATTAACCTCGCTATACGGGGCACCACTGTATAACATTTACTTTGGCCAAAATCCTACTGGATTTTAACTCCCGTATAATACTGTTGCTGTAAATCTCAGTGAATTGCTGCAAATTAAGAATTTAGCACAGCTGGCTGGATAACCCAGTGTTTTGGGTATCTGGTTGCAGAGTCAGAGGTTGAGGGTTTGATTCCCCATGGTGCCTCCTGTGAATAAAGCCAGCCTGTGTACCTTTGGGCAAGCTGCACAGCCCTAGGGTGCCCCCAGAGGAAGGGAATGGTAAACCACTTCTAAATATTCTCTTCCTGGAAAACCCTCATGTACTTGACAGTACATGATGATGATGATGATTAAGAATTTAACATAGGCATTTGTTGTTGTAATATGCACTAAATTGCATGATTTGGCATTCAAAAGCAGATGCTTATGCCAACTTTTTAAAATGGGACAAGTACTTCTTAAATTGGAGCAAGTAGGAAATGAGCTTTTTGTTGGGGCGGGGGGGGGCAACTCCCAGTCCTAGAATTCAGCCTGGCGAGCTTGCACTGAATTGTGAAACTAGCAGCATTCCCTCCCCCCGAAAAGTCCCATTGTATGGAGCAGTTTGCAACTGAGATTTATACCAATTGCATTAGACCGGTAGGCACAACTGTCTTGATTTTGGCCAATATTGTTATTACCATTTAAAAAAACAAAAAACCATCTGTACTCAACAAATATGAAACAAAACTCAAGTAATTATTGCTCTTGAAACTTGGAAGCACACAGGAAGCAAGTAACTTGGTGCAGTTGGATTGGTTTTTAATTTACAGTTTCGTTTTTTCTCTCTTTTTGAAAGTCTAGTCTCTTTGTACCTTAAATGTGTGTTTTTTAAAATGAATATTTATTGTCTGCAATTTAAGACAGGAGTATCTATACATTAGTGAAATAAATAATGCAAAGGCAACTTGTCAAGTGCTGGTACATGTGTGTACATTTGTAAACCAGGAAAATAATCTGGTAAACTAGAATTTGGATTAAGTCCATAAAGGAAGCCACACCCTATGGAAGGGGCCTATAAGGCCATCTAGTCCAACCCCCTGCTCAGTGCAGGAATAGAAATCCAAGAATATCTTCCAGTTAGTTATCTAAATTTCTCTTGAACGTTGGAGCATTCACCACCTCTTGAAGTAATTGACTCCATTGTCATACTGCTCTAACAGTCAGGAAGTTTTTCTTGATATTCAACGGAAATCTGGTTTCCTGTAACTTGAAATCATTGTTGCGTGTCCTGCACTCAGAGATTATTGAGAACAGATCCTGCCCCTCCTCTGTATGACACACTTTCAAGTACAGTGGTGCCTCGCTTTACGATTGCTCCATTTAACAATGAAACCGCATTACGACAAACTTTTTGCGATCACTTTTTTGCGGGAACCAATTCTTCGCAAAACGATGATTTTCGGACAGCTGATCGGCGGTTTCAAAATAGCTGCCAGGTAAACAAAATGCCCCCCCGCTGTTTTCTGGGATGGATTCCTCGCTGCACAGGCAGCAAAAATGGCCGCCCTATGGGGGATCTTCGCTGGACGGTGAGTTTCCAGCCCATCGGAATGCATTAAATGGGTTTTAATGCGTTTCTATGGGCTTTTAAATTTCGCTTTATGACATTTTCGTTCTACAGCGATTTCACTGGAACGAATTAACATCGTAATGCGAGGCTCCACTGTATTTGAAAAGTGCTATCATATCACCAATCAGTCTTCTTTTCTCAAGGCTAAACATGCCCAGTTCTTTCAGACTTTCCTCATAAGCCTTAGCATCCAGCCCCCTGATCATCCTTGTTGCCGTCCTCTGAACTTCTTCCAACATGTTGGCCTCCTTCTTGCAGTGCAGTGTCCAGAACTGGATACAATACTCAGTACTCCTGGAGCTTTTTGAGAGCTGACACTCTAAAGCTGTTGTTCCAAATATATAAATGGCAAACTGAGCCATAGCCAAGTTTCTTTTCTATTGCTTAGAAAGCCTTTATATTGTATGTCTGAGAAGGTCTTTATATTTCACGACTCAGCATGTTACTTAATAGAACTCAGTGAATTCCAGCTTTATCCTTTCTCTGGGAAACTTGCATATCTCTATTTGTCATTCAGTTAATTTACAACAGGCAAAAGGATAGTGCTACACTTTGGAACAGCAAATATTTACCCCCCAAAATCCCACTTGCTGTGGATAACATTGCTGCAAGTTGTTTTCTTTTCCTGATAGTAGATTCAGAAAAATAAAGAGAAGATCTCGTGTCGGTAAGATTTGACATTTAAATTTATTTGGTTAGAAAAAAAATTAATGGAAGAACGACAAATTAAAAGTGGTAGCTGCTGAATGTAGTGCCATGTTTAAAATAGCGAACTTTTTTTTGGAGTTCATTTTGGAACATCAAATTTAAAAGGCCTTCTTAAAGGAAAAAATGTTAATAACTAGAGAGTTGGAACATTTAAAGAGAGAAAATGGATTGGCCTAAATCCAATTTCTAGTCCCAACTAAAGCTGATCTATTGGAAGAACTGCTGATCGGCGGTTTCTTCCAACATGTTGGCACTTGTACTAAAGCTGATCTATTGGAAGAACTGCTGAATAGAACACTTGTATAAATCTCATTGATTCAGTGGATCTCCTCCAGTTGGGACTAGTAATTATGATTCAGGTATCTGTATTTTAAAATTTGTTGTTGTTGTTCAGTTCTGTTCCAGTTTCCTTACTGATTGTGAGAAAAATATGTCAATATTGATTTCGCATTTCTTTTTCAGAGGCCTTTTAAAATATATTTGTAGGATTTATTCATTTATTTATACTTTAATAATCAGAGAGTAGTAGAATATTCCAAGCTGTTTTAATGCAGCTACATGCGGGGTGTTTGTGTGTGTAATTTTAAATGTTTCCATTGTCTGATGGTAGGGTTCCCCCCCCCGGCTAAGTCTTCTGTGGTAGAATACCTCACAGCTAGTTGTGACGCTGTTAGCACTGGGTCTGGGGCAAAAGAGGATGAGCAAAGTAAGCCCAGGGCAGAAATGGACATAGTTCCACATCTTCAGATGTCTACAAGAAATTCAAGGAGGTTAGCTGTGATCTGTTTCTGGAAACATTTCAAAGTGCTGGTTCTGACCTATAAAACCATAAACAGCTTGGGTCTAAGCTATCTCAGGACTATATCTCTCTTTATGAGCTAAGCTATCTCAAGGACTATATCTCTCTTTATGAGTCTGCTCAGGTACTAAGATGATCAGGGGAGGTCTTTATTTCAGTCCCACCCCCTTCAGAGGTACACTTGGTGGGGATGCATGACAGGGCCTTCTCTGTTGCTGCTCCCAGACTCTGGAACTCCCTCCCACCTGAGGTTCCCAGACTCTGGAACTCCCTCCCACCTGAAGTCAGGCTGGCCCCATTTTTGCTGTCCTTCTGCAAGCAGTCAAATACATTTCTCTTCAGGCAACCTTCCCCTTGGAGACTAGCTGAGAGGAGTTTTTAAATAGATTGTTGTGCCTCACTGCTTGGAATGTCTTTTTGGTGTTGCTTTTATTTGTCATTTTCAATGTGGTATTTGTTTGATCTGTTGGGTCCCTTTTAAGCGTCATTTTCAATGTGGTATTTGTTTGATCTATTGGGTCCCTTTTAAGGAGAAAGGTGTGGTAAAAATATTTTAAATGAATAAATAAATCTGTTGCAGTAAAAACAAAGCAAAAACTCACATATCCTGAAAGATTAGCAGGTTTTTCGGCAGCATAAGCTTTAATTGATTCCAGCTGAGGACAAAATGAATATTCACACATGTTCTTCTGAATATTCAGGAAAAAGTGTCCTGGCACACGGAGACACCCCACTGACAAATCAGTAGAACCTGAGCAATTTTAAACTCCTCCTCTTTTCGGGGGGGGGTTGGCAGAAATTGTAGCAAAAACAAAACTCCACCTATTTTCTTTAGAATACACATTTTGGCACAATATACCATATTTTTTCGTGTATAAGATGCCCCATGTATAAGACCCTCCCCCATCTTTCTAACCCAAAATTTCTCTCTTCTCAAGAAAGTGGAGGGGGAAAGCAGGAATCAAAGTGCTTTGATGATTCCTGCTTTCTCCCTCCATTTTCTTTGGAAGAAAATAGGAGGAGGAAAACACTTTCCTCACAAAAAAAGTGGAGAGGGAAAGCAGGAATCATCAAAGTGCTTTGATTCCTGCTCCCCTCCAACTTTCTTGTGAGGAAAGTGCTTTTCCCCTCCACTTTCTTTGCAAAAAGTGAAGGGGAAAAGCAGGAATCAAAGTGCTTTGATTCCTGCCCCCCCCCCACTTTCTTGTGAGGAAAGTGCTTTTCCTCTCCACTTTCTTTGCAAAAAGTGAAGGGGAAAAGCAGGAATCAAAACGCTATGTTGATTCCTGCTTTTCCCCCTTCACTTTCTCTGCAAGAAAGAGGAGGGGAAAAGCAAGAATCAACATGCTTTGATCACTGCCTTCCCCCTCCACTTTCTTGTGTATAAAATGACCCTCAATTTTTAATCTAAAACTTTTAGACAAAAGTATCATCTTATACATGGAAGAATATGGTAATTAATTTTTTTTTTTTACAAAATACAAGTTTTTGATAGAAAAAAAGAGACAATCCTGTGATTTATTTTAAAGTGCTGCCATGAGAGAAAGGTACGAAAATTCTCCTAATCTCAACCAACAGGAAGGAAAACTGTGAAATGATCATTCCCACTTGTTAGAACAAAATAAACAAATAGCCCACTGCAGCTGAAGACATTGGCTGCAGTCCATGAGGATTTAATACATACATTCCTTTTCAATTTGTAGATGTTATTCTTTGAAGAAACAAATGGGTGTAAGTCTTTATTGTTTTTCATCCAGCTGTTCATCTAACACACTGGTTCTTAACCTTGGGTTACTCAGGAGTTTTGGACTGCAACTCCCAGAAGCCTTCACCACCAACTGTGCTGGCTGGGGTTTCTGGGAGTTGCAGTTCAAAAACATCCGAGTAACAAAGGTTAAGAACCACTGATCTAACAGACAGTAGCCAACATATTTGACCCCAAGGCCCAAACTCAATTTCAGAGCAATACTTGGAGGCACAGTCTAGGCAAAGAGAAGTCTTTCCTGTTATATCTTAATAATAACAATAACAACAGCAACAGCAACAGCAACAGCAACAGCGACGACGACGACGACGACGACGACGATGATGATGATGATGATGATGATGATAATAATAATAATAATAATAATAATAATAATAATAATAATAATAATAATAATAATAATAATAATAATAATAATAATAATAATAATAATAATAATAATAATAATAATAATAATACATATGTACCAACAAGGAAATTCAATCCCAATTTATGGCAACCCTTTCCAGGTTTTCTGGGGAGACAGTGCTCAGAAATGGTTTACTATTCTTTTCTTCTGGTGATGCTCTGAAATTACGTAGCTTGCCCAAGGCTACAAAGGCTAACTCTTCTCCTAGGAGCACAAAGGGTGTGAGCTTGTAAAATGGAGATGTCAGAAACAGGACCCATAACAGAAATAATATGGGGTACCACCATTGCATTGATGTTTTAATCATCAAACCTTCTGCCTCAGCGCTAGCTAGGAACATTCTTTACTGAAATGTTCACTATTTATGCTATGTCAGCAATAGAATATTTTTTTCATTTTGTTCTGTTTTTGCTGAAACCAAGGGGATGCAAGAGTCTCTTCCTCTCAATTTTCCTCCATACAATGCTTGTATTCTTTACCCATCCTTGGTTCGTATCAGATGTCACAACTTTGATTTTAATTCTTACAACAGGATTTTTGCAATTATTTTTTTCCCTGCCTTATTGATTTATCTGTTTACAGTATTTCGTTTATTTTGTTTATAGCCTGCCTTTTTACCTTGCAGGATCCAGGGTGGCTGACAAAATTTATGTTACACCAGCACTAAGATTTTGTCAACTACTAGTTGTTCATCATTCTTGTGGTATTAGACAGATTGTAGTTCTTCGAAATGCACAACAAACCGTGCAGATCTGTAAATTTCAAAGGCAAAGTGTGTCAGGCAAAAAGAAAACAAAAATTGAGAAAATTGAGAAAAAGACTAACTGCTATATGTTAATGTGAGCTTTTGTAGGCAAGTCCACTTTTTCAGCCCACATTAACATGTAGCAGTTTATCTTGAAGGTGTCACAACATTTTTGTCTTCTTTATTTTATTTTTTTTAAGTTTTGGTTTGGACTAACTGTTATATGTTAATGTGAGCTTTTGTAAACGAGTCCACTTTTTCAGCCCACATTAAAAAGTAGCAGTTTATCTTTAAGATGTCATAACATTTTTGTCTTCTTTATTTCATTTTTTTATTTTTGGTTTTGTTTTGCCTGACATGCTAGCACAAACTAACACGGAGACCTCATCAGGTGTAAAATAGATACCTGAGAATTTCAAGGCAAGAAATGTATTTTCCATAAAATAAACATTTTTTATAAATGAAGAAATTTTAAAGATTGCATCTCACGATGTTTCTCATGGGTCTCCTGTTTATCTATAAACTTGTGTTGCCTATATGCATGTCTAAGCTTCTTCAAAATTAAACTCATTCTTGCTCTGCATTCACCACTCCTCTTAGATGCCTTATTCAAATGATGGTGATGAAAGGACCTGTACCTCCTATTTCACATCATTTTGGATATTCCTCCATGGCCAGCTATTTCATGTCCCATCTAAAGCAAAATTCTGAATACATATTATCAATATGTTATATAATCAAACTGGCAATATACTTATTTCTGTAGAATCCTAACCATTATTTCTTATCTGTGGAACTTTCATTCTTTGAAGGCCTCAAAAGCTTTTCCATTTTGAATCTTCCAAATTACAGATCTGAGTTGAAAGATTTGCAAGCACATGTTTTTGCTTTCCAGCTATGAAATATTTAAAATATATAGCATTGTCACTTACCAGCCATGGACTAAATATCCAAGTGTAGAATTAAACTCATCAAATACATCAGCAAATTATGGTGAGAGTAACATAACCCTTAGGAAAGGGTTTACATACAAATGTGGTAAGATTTATAAGGCATCTGGTGGAAGCTTCAAATAGCTATTTGCAGTTCTGACTCTTATTACTATTCTTATTTTTACTTAAAGAATAATTTATTTTTTTTCCTGTCTTTTTAGCATCACTGCTCATCAGGGGAGAAACTTGTTGCTGAACAATAACATGAAACCTGATTTTTTCCTTGTCTTCGTTGAACTGTGTGTCATCGTGCATTTATCATATGGAAAAGCTGAGGTTGGGACTCAGCAAAGTGTCTTATTCGACCTTTCGCCTTTCGATGAAACTACTAAACCATCCCCATGTAGCGCTGTATCAGATCAGCCCAAGGAAAGGCCTATGTCAGCATTCTCCATGCACAACTTCACCAAACTGAACACAAACTTTGGATTTAATCTCTACAGGAAAATCTCACTAAGGCATGACAAAAATGTCTTCTTCTCTCCGTTGTCACTATCATTTGCTTTGGCAGTCTTCTTGCTGGCTTCCAAAGGGGAAACACAGAACCAAATAGTGCAATCTCTAAATCTCCCTATTCTGAATGGAAAAGAACACCATTTTCCAGCCTTGTTCCAACAGTTAAGGGTCAACATCACCCAAAACAAAGAATTCAGGCTCTCCGAGAATAGCTTCTGTTTCATCCAGAAAGACTTCCAGATCAAGGAGGTCTTCCACAACTTGTCCAAACAATACTTTGATATGGAGTATCTGACAGTTGATTTCAACAACTCTTCTTTGGCCAAAAGCTTGATCAATGAGCACATCCGGCAAAAGACGAGAGGGAAAATCCATGCATTGTTTGATGCATTTGATCAGGATGCTAAAATAATCCTTGTGAATCACATTCTTTTTCAAGGTAAATGTTCATGTTATTATACACATCGTTGTTATTATTTTAAGAGGAGAGATCCGAGGTTTGGACAGCAACTAGTCTTAAAAGAGGGCCATTAGGAAGAATGGATGGAATGTTGTGGGCAACACATATACACCCGAGTAACACAAAGCACATGGTTTTCCTTTTCACACATTGTCCTTCTAAACTGCCACAACCCTCATGAAAGTCTTCACCCCATCAAAACTCCCATTGATGCCAAGGGGAGCATCCTTCATGAGGCAAACAGCAGCTTGTTTGTTGTGGGGGATGTCTTACTGGAGCTGGAGCTCTGAACTGGCAGCACTAGAAGCTTCCTAAAGAAAATCATAGTTTGTCAGAGACTGCGATGTGCCTGGCATACAACATTCAGATAGCACCCACTCTGTCACTAATGAGTACAGGAAACAATCAGGGCATTCTTGAGCCAAGTGCTTTGAAATAAGTTTTTGTCTTCCCCTGTTACTTCAATGGGTGTTGCTTCCTTGTGGATTGGACCCATGGAATTAATCTGATTCCTGTTCTGTCACTCTTAGTGGTGCTTCAAACATCTCACCTTCCTTTAGATAGTCCCTGTTCCTATGGAAATACAACTATGCACATTGCACACTATTAGTACTTCTGTATCACTTTTACTACACCATGGAAGACAAGATCAGAGCCATGAAAAACTCTAAAATCATGGTGACCAAGAAGAGTGAATGAGTAAACCCACCTCAGTGCTACAAATGATAACCAGTGTGGTGTGGTAGACAGAAGGATTGACTAAGACTCAAGAGGCCTGGGTCCAAATCCCCACTCAACCATGGATGTTCAATAGGGGGTGTGGAACTGGTAAAACCATTCCATAAACATCTCACTTACCTTGAAACCCTATGAGGGTCACTACAATTTGGTTCCAACTTGATGGCACATAAGATGTATAAGTACTCTATGCAAATTGGTGGAGTCAGTTCTTTTACGTGCACTGAATCCATGGTGAGTGTGAATTAGGGATGATCATAGAATCATAGAAAAGAGAAGCTGGTAGGGGCCTACAAGGCCATCAAGTCCAACTCCCTGCTCAATGCAGGAATACAATCAAAGCATACCTGCCAGGTGATTATCTAAGTTCTTCATGAATGCCTCCACTGTTGGAGCACTCACCAACTCCCTAGGTAACCGGTTCCACTGTCGTACTGCACTAACAGTTAGGAAGTTTTTCCTGATATTCAGCTGAAATCTGGCTTCCTTTAACTTGAGCCCATTGTTGGGTGTCCTGCACTCTGGGATGAGCGAGCACAGATCTTGACCCTCCTCTGTATGACAGCTTTTCAAATATTTGAAAACTGCTATCATATCACCCTTCAGTCTTCTTTTCTCAAGACTAAACATCCCCAATTCTTTCAGCCTTTCCTTATAAGGCTTGGTTTCCAGACCCCTGATCATCCTTTTCTCCCTTCACTATACTTGTTCCAATTAGTTAGCATCCTTCTTGAAGTGTGGTGTCCAGAACTGGCCTAACCAGTGCTGAATAGAGGGGGACTAGCACCTTGTGGGATTTGTAAACTATACTTCTATTAATGCAGCCTAAAATAGCATTAGCCCTTTTTGTAGCCACATCACACTGTTGGCTCATATTTAGCTTGTGATCTACGACAACTCCAAGATCCTGAGCCAGGTACACCCCTCCCCCAATCTTGTAACTGTGCATTTGGTTTCTTTTTTCCGAGGTGCAGTGCCTTGCACTTATCCCTGTTGAATTTCATTCTGTTGCTTTCGGCCCAGAATTCCATCCTATCAAGGCCATTTTGAATTTTGTTTCTGTCTTTTAGGGTATTAGCTATTCCACCCAGTTTTATATCATCTGCAGATTTGACAAGCATTTCCTGCACTCCCTCATCTAAGTCATTAATAAAAATATTGAAGATCACCGGGCCCAGGACTGAGCCTTGGGTTACCTCCTCCCAGTTAGAGAAAGACCCCTTGATCATCACCCTCTGAGTATAATTCTGTAGTCAATTGTGTATCCCCCTGACACTTGATCTAGCCAGCCCACACCTAGTTAGCTTGCTAATCAGGATGTCATAGGGCACTCTGTCAAAAGCTTTGCTGAAGTGAAGATATATCATATCTATAGCATTCCCTCAGTCTATCAGGGAGGTGACCTGATCAAAAAAATGAGATCAAATTAGTTTGGCAGGATTTGTTCTTGACAAATCTGTGTTGGCTTCTAGTTACTACTGCATTGTTTTCTAGGTCCTTGCACAATGACCGCTTTACGATCTGTTCCAGAATTTTGCCTGGGATTGATGTCAGGTTGACTGGCTTGTAGTTCCCAGGTTCCTCTTTTTTGCCCTTTTTGAAGATAGGGACAAGATTGGCCCTCCTCCAGTCCTCTGGCACCTCCCCCGTTTCCCATGATTTCAAGAAAAGAATGGATAGCTGTTCTGAGAGTTCTTCAGCCAGTTCCTTCAATACTTTCGGATGCAGTTCATCCAGCCCTGGAGATTTTAACTCATTCAAGGTGGTAAGGTATTCCTTGACTATTTGTTTCTCAATCTCCAGCTGTAATCCTGCCCACCCCCACTTGCACTTCCAATTTGTTTGGAAGTTCATAGTCTGTTTTATGGGAAAAGACTGAACTAAAATAGGAATCCACCACTTCTGCCTTCTCTTGGTCCTCTTTTACCATTTTTCCATCTTCATTGTGGAGCTGTGTCTTTTGTGTGTCATTTGCTATGAACATACCTGAAGAATGCTTTTTTATTGCTTTTAGTGTCTCTAGCTAACCTCAGCTCAGCCTCAGCTTTTACCCTCCTAATGCCATCCCTGCATTTCCTTTATATTTGTCAGTGCTCATCCTTGGTGACCTGGCCTTCTTTCCACTTCCTGTGCATGTCTTTTTTGGTTTTTAGGTCCTCCCTGAGCTTTTAGTGAAGCCACACCGGCCTTTTTTGCCACTTCCCCTTTTTTCTTGTTGGAATTGTTTGTAGATCTGCCTTAAGAATTTTTTTAGAAGCTCCCACCCTTCTTGGACTCTTTTTCTTGTTAGGAAGGATCTCCTGCCATGCAACCTTACTTATCCTTGTTCTGATAAAATTGGCTTTTTAAAAATCCAGCAGAAGTGTACAGCTACACTCTGCTTTCATTTCCTTTGAAATCAAGAATTCTAGAAGGACATGTAGCTACCAAGTTCCTTTTGTTTTTTGCCCCAACTAGATTGATCCAGATGCTCTTTATGGGACAGCCACTCTCCTCCTCCTGTATTTCTGTGCAGGAATGTGTATTTTTGACATATACTACAACTCCATCTCCCTTTTTATTCTCTCTGTTTTTTTTATTAAAAAATCAGTTTATATGCCCCAATTGCTGTATTCCAGTCATGGGAGTCATCCCATCAAGTATCAGTTATTCCTATCAAGTCATACTTACCCTCCTGAATTAAAATTTCCAGTTCTTCTTGTTTGTTTCCCAAACTCCATCTCCCTTTTTATTCTCTCTGTTTTTTTTATTAAAAAATCAGTTTATATGCCCCAATTGCTGTATTCCAGTCATGGGAGTCATCCCATCAAGTTTCAGTTATTCCTATCAAGTCATACTTACCCTCCTGAATTAAAATTTCCAGTTCTTCTTGTTTGTTTCCCATACTCCTGGCATTCGTATACACACACCAGAGGATGTATGTTTTCTGGTCTGTTTGTCTTTGTACATTTTTATGAAGATTATTATGATGCTTGTTATGTTTATGATTGTAATTATTATTGTTAATGTTATTCTTGTTGGTCAGTTTGGTCCATTCCTCTTATTGTGTATAAGGCTTCATCTACCCTTAACTCTGTGCTTGAGACTCCCTCCCCCTTCCAGTTCAGTTTAAAGCCCTCCTGATGAAGTTCTTCATGCTGTGGGCAAACACATTCTTCCCAGTCCTTATTAGATGCAAACCATCTCTTGCTAGCAGTCCTTCTTCCAGGAAGTTTAGTCCATGGTCCCAAAAAACCAAATCCCTCTCGTCGACACCACCTTCGTAGCCAGTCATTCAATCAAAGGATCTTCCTTTCTCTTTCAATTCCTCTTCCGAGCACCGGTAGGATGGAAGAAGAAAAAAATTATGCCTGCTGGCCTCTTTTCCTGACTTCCATGTATACCATGGGAAGTGCAAAAGGAACCCTGTGCCTATGCAGAGTTCTACCCATGCCATTCACTGAATGCAAAGAAGTTGGGAAGTACATGTGTGAAATCATTTCCCAACCTCTAAGCATTAGGTACATATAGTGTGGAAGTTAGAATAGGGCTCTTGCAATGAGTACAACAGCACCATCCCAAAATCTTTTTCTGTCTCAAAAAAAAAATACAATGAGTACAACATAGCCCAACCCTGAAGAAATCTAGAAACCAGCTGAACTGGCCATTGCATTTTGTTTCAACACTGGAGATATGAGTATATCCTCTACTGAAGTGGTCCCCAACCTTGGGCCTCCAGATATTCTTGTACTACAACTCCCAAAAGCCTACACCACCACCTCTGCTGCCCAGGATTTCTGGGAGTTGAAGTGCAAGAACATCTGGAGGCCCAAGGTTGGGGACCACTGCTCTACTGCTCTTAAAGGCAACCTAGACAGTCTGTGCAGGACAGGCATTGTGACCAATACTGTTTTTCCTCCAATAAAGGGGGGAAAAGCCAGGGACTGAAGAGGAAAACCTGAAAGGCTTTTGATGCTGCCCCCCAGTCTTTGCTACCTGAGGTAGTTGCCTCATTTTATGAAACACTAGGGCCTGCCCTCATGGACAGGTACATTATCTCCTTGTCATTTTCAGGTTTAGGAGCTGGCCAGGTCAGATAGAACCAAAGCATAAGGTGAAGTTACTTTCTTGGACTACAACTCCCAGGATCTCAAATAGATTTGGATGACTGAGAGATACACAGAACTTGAGTCCAAAAGAAGTTATTTATTTCAAAGGCTGAGTAGGTATTGATCTTATATGGGTTCTGTCCCATGGCAGAA